AGGCCCCGTCCTGCTCAGACCCCTGCAGGTAACACACAACTGCACACACACACAACTGCACACACACACAACTGCACACACACACGCACGCACGCACGCACGCACGCACTCACGCACGCACGCACGCACGCACACACACACACACACACACACACCATTTTAAACCACAGCTCATAGTTTACGTTCTCTAGCTGCAAAGACGTTGTTCAGTCATGATGAAGCTGCAAGTATTTAAAACTTTATATTATTCAAGGCACCTCTTATCAATGTTGATTCAAAAGTTAAGCTTTACAGTGAATTCCATCAAAAGATCTATAACAAGCAAGCACATTTATTTTTTGAATTGTCTTTTTACAATTAATTGTGGGAATGTATGAACTTAGTCAGACAATTTTAAAGTAAAAAAATAATGCCATACAGAAAAACATTTAGTCAATAAAAGATAAGATGATGGCAACAAAGAAATATAAATGGAGGGCCCAGAGGAGTGAACTGTGGCCTTAAGATGTGCTGTAATCTGTTACACAGAGGCTGTTTCAAATTAAAAGCATGAGATACAAATGGGAGAAAAGGAGTCATGTTGCTCTGAAGATTTGTAGAGGACTGCATAGTAAAAATGAATAAACAAATAAAACATTTAATCGAAGTGACAGCTTACCTTAGAATTAAAAAGATACACTAAGCCAGTGTTTCTCAAAGTGGGGGGCACGCTCCCCCTGGGGGGCGCAGAGGCATGACATATTTTCACATATATATATATATATATATGTGCATATGAACTCAGGGCCGGTCCGTAGCACTCGCGTTGATGTTCGCCTAGGGCGCCAGATCTGGGGAGGCGCTGCACTGGTAGTTCTGGGAGGGAAAAAAACATTTTTCACCGTTGGTGCTCATCCTAATTTTTGGCCTTGATGTAACAATATTCATAATTAAGTAAATGTAACACCCTTTTCACCCCGGTTACACGTTTCATTTGCCCTGTACGATCGGCGCTGTAAGTGATGAAAATGGGGGATGTTGGCTTATCTGGCGCCCGCAGCTCACAGCCAAAGTGCGAGTGAGCGGGAGAGAGGGAGGGTGCACCGGTACCGGCGCTGTTGTTATTAGAATCTGGTGCTAGCTGTGCTAACGGATATAAGAAGAAGATGTGTCTATAATAATGTGGAGGGAGAGTCCTCTCCAGTCAGACTGAGAGGCTGATAACTACAGCTCAGTGAGGTAAGGACTCTTGAGTGTTTAGATACTTTAGTAACTTTAGTCTAAGTTCAAACGGTTTGGTCACAATTTATGTAAACAAATATTTCCAAGGCACTCCTTTGTAATTATTGGAATAAACAGGTTTGAAATCATTTCAATGTATACTATAGGACAGTAACCAAAAATATCCTGTAAAAAAAATGCATAAATAAATAAATGTTAAGGTAAAATAAGATATGAATGAACAACACAAATAAAATAAGTTACACTTATTTGTTATTGGCTATGGTAGGTAATCGGTTATGTTCACATACACTTATTTGATTACATCCACTTGTCTAAGAGGACAACAGAGACTTTCGACCCAAAACCAGCTGTTGACTTGTGGATGCAAGCAGCTAATCGCAGACTCAACCAGAGAGAAAGTAGTAGGCCTATCATCAGCTACCATGTCTGAGCAAAGATGGAAGACAGTGAGGAGAACAGTCAGGAGTGTCCGAGGTTAGTATGAAAGCGTGTAGGATTACTGGTCGTGCTAATGTTTTCTTGTGTTCACCTCTGCATGTGTGTTCTGTGTTCACCTCTGCATGTGTATTCAGTGCCGTGTGTCTGGCAAATATAGTCAAGACCCCCTCAAAATGTACGGTTTATTTCATTTTAAGGATGAGCACCAAGCAACATCTCCAGGTGCTCCTTTGAGAACCAGGGCAAAAAAGTCATGTGCACCCCTGCCTATATGCCATGAGCTGATTATCGAGCCCTAAATGAGAGCACCCTCTATGAAACGTCAAGCTACCCCACAGCACCTCCAAAAGAAAATCTCTTGCGCCGCCACTGAGCCTGCAACCCTGTTTTGAAGAAATGTGCATTGCAACACAGGCTCATTGCACCCACTAATGCTGTGATAAGACAATGTGATTGTGCCAAATATCAGCATTTTCTTTCTTTTCATTTTTTTGCACAGATTGCAAAGTGGTAAAGTATTATAACTTATTGTTCTAGCAAAGGGATTGCCCAATTGTATTATGGGTTTTTTCTTTTTGGACCACACAGAAAAACCTTTTTTTTTCTCCAAAGGGAGGGCCTGATGGAAAAAGTTTGAGAACCACTGCACTAAGCCCAGCTTTATACTCTATATAAAGTTGACACTTTCTAAATACATTTAAAACATAACAGTGTTTCCCCCCCCCCTCAGGATTGTTCTGTTGGAGAGCATCCCTGAAGGCCTGACGTTTAACTCCAGCACCCCCCACCCCTCCATCTACCAGGCCTGGCTCAACCTGATGGCCGAGGCCCGCAGCAGCGTGGACATCGCCTCCTTCTATTGGACGCTTACTAACAAAGACACTGGCACTCATGAGCCGTCAGCCAATAAGGTCAGCCCGAGCTGTGAATGGCCAAATGGCACAGGATGAGTTTATCTCCTCAAAATATGTGTTTGATTAACATTACCTGACATTTACCAATATAAAACAAGAAATGTGTTCTATTTTTTTATTATAGAAGCGTAAATAACATTTAACGTTCCGGTTGTTTTCTTGCTGTTCGCAGGGTGAGACTGTTCTAAAAACACTAGCTAAACTCTCCGGGAAGGTGTCAGTTCGTATCGCAGTGAACACACCACAGCACAGTCAGCCGCAGGACGACCTCCGACTGCTCAACGCCTCAGGTGACACTTTTGCTTTGTACCAACGAGTCGAGACAAACGTTTCAGCTGTTGGGTCTACAACTGTAGTTCTTGTTTTTTTAAGACGACATTTAGCTTGAATTTGAGAGCTGACAGTGTAAGAGCCAGAATCTGTATTTGTTTCAGAAAATAACCAAATGGGTTTGTTTTATGTTTTATCTAACATCACTTGTCATATACACTCACTGGCCACTTTTTGTAGGTACACCTGTTTAACTGCTCGTTAACGCAAATATCTAATCAGCCAATCACATGGCAGAAACTCAATGCACTTAGGCATGAAGACATCATCAAGACGACCTGGTGAAGTTCAAACAGAGCATCAGAACGGGGGAAAAAGGAGATTTAAGTGACTTTGAACGGGGCATGGTTGTTGGTGCCAGACGGACTGGTCTGAGTATTTCAGAAACTGCTGATCGACTGGGATTTTCACACACAACCATCTATAGGGTTTACAGACAATGGTCCGAAAAGGGGGAAATATCCAGTGAGCGGCAGTTCTCTGGGAGAAAATGCCCTATTGATGCCAGAAGTCAGAGGAGAAAGGCCAGACTGGTTCAAGGTGATAGAAAGGCAACAGTTACTCAATTAACCACTAGATACAACCAAGGTATGCATAAGACCCTCTCTGAACCTCAACACGTGGAACCCTGAAGCAGATGGGCTACAGCAGCAGAAGACCCCACCGGGGGACCCTCCTGTCAGATAGGAACAGGAAACTGAGGCTACAATTCACACGGGCTCACCAAAATTGGACAATAAAAGATTGAAAAAAATGTTGCCTGGTCTGATGAGTCTCGAATTCTGCAGCGACATGTGGACGGTAGGGTCAACTTTGGCGTAAACAACATGAGCATGGATCCATCCCGCTTTGTATCAACGGTTCACGCTGGTGTTATGGTGTGGGGGGTATTTTCTTGGCATACTTAGTACCAATTGAGCATGGTTTAAACGCAACAGCCTACCAGAGTGTTGCTGCTGACTATGTCCATCCCTTTATGACCACAGTGTACCCATCTTTTGGTGGCTACTTCCAGCAGGATAACGCCATGTCTCGAATATCTAATTATCTCCAACTGGTTTCTTGAACATGACTTCATGAGTTCACTGTTCTCAAAAGGCCTCCACAGTAGAGATGTTAAGATTCACCGATTCGCATCGGTGCACCGGCATAAACGTTCAAGATGCGAGTGCAACGGTTGAAAGAGTGCACATCGGCTACAGT